TACAGAGAAGGGCTGACATACAGCTCCCAAAATACAAGGCCCCCTTTAATCTACCCTTGCTCAAGGTTTGCAGTAGTTTTTTACAGATCAGTAACTTACAGGTTCACAGAATCACAGAATGGGTGAGGTTGGAAGGGACTACAATGGGTCACTAGGTCCAGTCTCTCTGCTCAAGCAGGGAAATACAGGTTATGCCTGTTTTCTTGTTATCCTGGTCAAGCAGCACTTTACTACAAGATTAGAATCATAGAATGGTTAAGGTTGGAAAAGACCTGTAAGCTCAGTGAGTTCAGCTGTCAACCCAGCACCACCACCATGTCCTCAAGTGCCATATCCACATGTTTTTTGAACACTTCCAGGGATGGTGACTCCACCACTTGTGATTTAATTGATTTGAACAGGCTCATTTGTGACCTTTTAAAACTCCCCACAAATATGAAGGATGTGATGCAGAAGTACCAGGTGAAATTTGCTGACACACAGAACTTAAACTTTTTAAAAAATTAAAACTAACTGATTCATTAAACAATGGTCAGAGAACTTGAATTGTGGAAGGGCAGCAAAGAAACTTCCCTGAAAACCCAGACAGTGAGGTTGTAATAGCTTGATGTAAGAGGTTTTGGGTTGAAATACACAGGTTGCCTTGAAGTACATAGGAGGCTGCTAGATTTCTACTGATTACATTTTTTGGTGATAGATGCAGGAAATGCATTTAAAGGAGGGATCTGCACTGGGGGAGATCTGGGAATTTGAGCATACCAGGAAAAGATACTGGAGAAATTTTATCAGAGACCATTTGCTCCTGAGATTTCTGTGTTTCTCTTTACCGTCACCAAAGTGAATGAAGTCCAAAGCAGAGGGACTTCACAAAGTCATTCAAGTCTTTATTAAACCTTGGAAATGCAGGACAGGTGAGGCTGTTCTGCCTGTAAACAGTCTTTCTTAAGGGTACCAGCATCGTGTGAGACTTCCTGCATGACTGTGGGTGAGACTTGCTTACAAATCCCACAGTTTTGGGAAGCACATGAAGCAGTTGGACTGAGTGTATCCCCAGTGGCTGAGGCTTTCTGGAGAGCAGAGGACCCTCAGCACACATGTGACAGAACTGCTTGCAGGTTCTACAGTCATGCAGGATGTCTCAACCCATGGGAAGTGCTCATGGACACAGTCCACCGAGATTTTGGCTGCGACACCTCTGGAAATCTTTAGCAAACAGAAAGCACTTAACCAGAATAAAGCAGTGGATATGTGGGAGCCTTGAGTCCACCCATAAATGCCAGTGTTTTCAGGCACTCTGGCACAACCACCACACCCAATCACCCAAATTAGCCTCCTAGTTAGCTTTAACGAGCATGGAGAGCCAAATGTGAGTGTCCTGGGAGGCTTCCATGTGCCTCCTCACACTCCCACAGGTTTCTCTTCACCTTCATCTGGAAAGCTGACTAATTTACTCTGAGCTGTGTGTAATGTTTGTGCACACAAGCTGGGAATGCTGCTCCTCACAACCCTACAAATGGGGAACATTTCATAAATTCCCTTCCCAGGTCCCTTTTACTTTTTGCCACAGATCTGTATCCCCCTGGTTTAGGTTCCTTTTTGCCTACACCCCACCTGCCTCAAGGATGCCTGAAAGGCTTATGATGGCCAAGTGCTGCAAAAAGAAAACGAAATTAGTGTCTTCAGAGCAACACCCCATGGAGCAGGTCTCACAAGGCAATTGTTGGATTACTTGTCCTTGCTCCCCACTCCAGCATCCTGACCTCCCTGGCTACCAAACTCCATGTCCACTGGGGAATGCCGGTACTGGCAGATATTTTCTTCCATGTCTTTGCTCCTCCTTTAGCTCAGTGGATGCAGTTCTGTCAGCTCACATTCATAAATGCTGTGATTTATTTGATGCACAGATTGGCACATTTATGCATTTATTACATGTAGTAAACCTCAGGCCTGGTGTGTATTTGCAGATGCATTCATGTAATTAAACATTTAGGGGTAATTACTCTAATTGCCTATCTTGACTTGCTAAGCCTCCCATTCCGAGGATGAAATTCATTTACCTAAAGAGGCTTCATCTTCATAGTCCCTTTCATTCATACCTGCCCCTTACACAGCTGAGGGCTTTGCCATATCCCCTTTCCCACACTGTGACTCCTTACATTAGATGTAGGCAGTGACAGGGGCTGCTGGATCCTCAGAGCAGGATGCACATGTTACAGGTGGTCTGCAGTCAGGTATGCTCAGGTGTGTTTGCTTGCACAGCCCCATGATTTCCAGCAGACATCTAACCCAGATGTGGCTTGGCATGGGATTCCCTTCTCCCTCTCTACATCCCCATTCAACAACCAGCACAGGCTGAAGAATCCTGTGAGGTCTGGCTATGCAATGCTGAGCTAATCCCTCCGTGTCTGCAGAGCTCCCTCATCCGTGTGTTCGCAGATGAATTTGCAAATGAGAGAACACTCTGTTTTGAGCACAAAGCTGCAAAGACCTTGACATTATAAAAACCAAACCTTCAGCCTGTGGGTTGTAGCTTTGCATTTTGACTATTTAGATAAGAACATGCTGCCTATTCTACTACTCTTTACACAGGCTCAGGTTTAATCATTGATGTGCTGAAGGGAGATATGCCTTCATTCTTGCAATAACTCTGTGCTGCATGTGCTGAGGGGAAGAGTCCTGAAGGAATAGAGCTGTTGTGAGCATTTGCCAGCTCCTCTCAGCCTTTCTGAAGGGGCAGAATTTCATGTGTCGCTCATGCACTGCCCTGGGCAGCCTCACCCAGCAGCTTTTTGCTGGAAGGTGAATTTTTGTTTTCCCAATTCCCGATTCTTCTCAACAGACATAGAAATTATCCTCAAAAAAGTAACCAATGGGATCCAGAACAGAGATAAGGCTTACCAGTGCTCCTCCTTAGCTCTGCAAAGGCACTGACTTCTCATTCCTTAAAGCCATGACACAATGAAGATTAAAATAAATAGTACAGATGGGCGTTTTCTTTATGGGCTTTCTTCTCTTTCTGGGCTCTGGACAGCTGGACTTGGAGCAATGCCTACATTTATTTGGACAGGTGGAAAGAAAAATGGGGCAAACTGAATCATATTCTTTTGATTCTCTGAAACAGCTCTAAATGAGATTTTATCGTCTACACAGCATATATTAAACAGGCAATGATCCAACAAAGTTTTGTGGTGCTGTCTTTTGGAAAATTTATTTAATTTGTTTGTGGGTTTCATGCACCTACAATACACATTCCAAAGTCCCATGAGTAATAACAAATAGCCTTTAAAGCATGCCACTGCACAATGGCCCAGCATGAGAACAAATCTTTCCTTGGAATTAGAGGTACCGCTCCTGCCTGGCACCATTTCCCTGTACCACTAGGTGGCTTTTCCACCCAGTAGTTTGTATCTCTTTCTTCAAAGTCACTACAAGTACAAATACTTATACTACAAGTACTTATACTACAAGTACAATGAATCTAGTCCTAAGTGCAACCATCAAACCAGTGGAAAGTAGAGAATAAAGCTAAGACATCCTTCAGCAGATGAATTCTTAAATTCCCATACATTTACACTGAAATCTTCACCAATCCCTTGTCTGTCCTTCTAATGCTTTGTTTTGAGTTAGTTACAGCTGGCTGGCTGGCTAACTTCTGGATTTTGAACAGCATAAGGTGTCTGCTCAGATATATTCCTGTACAGCTATGGAACTTTGCAAAATAGTGTGTATGTCTAATTTTATAACAGACATTTTTGTAATTCATTAGCATAACACAGAAACAGGATGTGTACTAGTTAATGTAATGCATTGTCTCACCATGTTCTCAGGAAGAATAAATCCACGTTTGCCTTCTCAGATATTTTACTCTTTTTTTTTAACTTTTTTTAACTTAAATTTTTATCTACAGATCTTTACCCCCACCTAAACACTGCAAATATCTGACTATAGTATCTTTTTCAAGTAGCACTCAGTGTCTCAAACTCCCTCCAAACAGAAAACCCCCAAGAGGGTCATTGACTGGAGTACAGACCAGTGTGAGGGGAAAGATAAGGGTCACAAATCCTGTTGTGTTAAAAAAAATAAATACCACCCCCTCCTAGTTTTTCAGTAAGTTTCGCCATGTTGAGTAGCAAGTATATTATTGGAAGCACAACACAGCTGAATTGGGCAGAGAAAGACCTAAGACATATTAAAAGTTTGGCAGATGAACTCAAGATTTGCGTTTTTCACTCATTTCAGATTTTTTTCCCCTTTCCTTTAATATTTAACTCTTGTTTTCTACTACAGAAGTGGTCATATATTCACTGGAGAGAAACACATGGAGCTGTGTCCTGACAAGTGCCCTTCAGTGGCACAAAAAGTTGCATCAACAGCTCTTTCAGGTAGAGCACAGTCACACACACAGGATTCACAGGCAAATTTAGGGGGGTTAATGCTGAAACTAATTTTGCACACATCAGGTAAGATTTCAGTGAGGAAAGACAGCTGATGGAGAAGGCTCCTGCTTTAGAAAACATCAGAGAGATGAGTTTGGACTGCATTACCTGTGTAAAGCTGCTTTCTGTCTCCAAATATTCAGCAGAGATGGACGCAGGCTGGCAAGAGTCTGTGAAAACCACACTTGGAGCTGCTCTGTGTTGATGCAGCAGTACTTGCTCTTGGTTGCCATGTCCCAGGTGGCACCACTTTGATCCAAATCTCTGCCCTGACTGCAGCAGCTTTTTACACCCAACTGGTTTTCAATACGCGGCTTTCCCAGAGGCCCTGGATCAACAGAAGATTCTAAAGGGAAGAGAAGGATCACAGTTAAATCTATTGGAGCAAACTGGCACTCAGTAAAAGCTGCAGCAGGGGAGGTTCAAGTTGGACATCAGGAAGAATTTGTTCATGGAAGGGGTTGTTAAGCATTGGAATGGGCTGCCCAGGGAGGTGGTGGAGTCGCCATCCCTGGAGGTGTTTAAGGAAAGACTGGATGTGGCACTCGGTGCCATGGTCCAATCAATGAGGTGATGTTTGGCCATAGGTTGGACTCGATGATCTTGAAGGTCTTTTACAACCTCAATCATTCTGTGATTCTGTAGTGATACAGCTGAATAAATAAAGCAATTAGGAATACATGATGGGGTTTTTTTATTATACAAGTGCCTTTCAAGCTGCCTTTATACAGCATAAGCGTTCATGGTATAATCCAATTAAAAGCTGTGTTATCACATTACCTGGTGCTGATTCAAAGTCAATATACTCTGCTCCTAGGAGGCTTTTCTGCTGGTGCTTGGCAGTACACAGATGCAGGCACATGGGTTTTGATGGGATGGAGCACAGGCCTGTGGTACCTCAGTGATATCCTAGACCTACCTGCAGTACAATATGTAGGTGCATGTCTAGGCTGATCTTTAAATTACAACAATCCTAACCAAAACCAAGTTTTCATTTTTCATGCTCAAGTCCGTCTGCTTTGGCCCGGCACAGTTTAAATCACCAGGACAGCATGAGGGTGAGCTCTGCCAGGCAGTGCCAGCAGTTTTTCCCTCTCAGTGAGTGCTGCTTATGTGGCTCCATCAACTGAAAGGCACTGGAGGACTGGTAACGCTCAGAACAACCTCTGATCTCTTGGCTGTCCCTCAAGCTGTATTATCACTGCAAACACGCACTTCCCTTAATCTCTATATAATCTTCTCGCAGACAGAGTAATTAAAAAACAGTTCCATGTCTTTTCCCTGGCTTCTTTCAGCTAAGCATTTTGCAGCCTCCCCGTCCCTCATGCCAACAGTCTGTAAATTTTTTCCTGTGATTTTATATTCTTTTTATCAAGCTTTGTACTCCTCTGTCAGCTTTTCTCTTTATGCAGAACTTCTTTCAGGTGAAATGCTCTCTTTCTCCCTCTTCACCTCACGGAGATTATTCATGTGCCTGAAAAGTCCTTGTGGAAGCAAGCTCCGATCCCAGCCTTGCGTGGTTTTGAAGCACTCCCCTCCATGAATTTCTGTCATCTCTTCCTATCTCACTGTGCCCACAAGCTGAAGCTGGGACACAAGGGCAGAGGTGAAGTCTCTGGGCCAAGGCTGTTTCCTGGCCTGCCACAGGTCTGGATGCTCAAAGGGATTTTGGTAGGATGGTTCTCAGTGAAAACAAGCCCTGGCAGATGAGGAATCACCCAGATGGTGATCAAAGTGACAGCCTGGGGCTGCTGTGGGAGGCAGATGGACACCTCTCCCAGCCTTGCCTGGGCCCCAGGGCCAGGGCCACCTCCTGCCCACAAGGGCCCTGCCCTTCTCCCAGCCCTTGGAGATTCCCACAACAAAAACTCTTGGTCATGGGAAGATGTGATATGCTTTCCATGGGGTTGGTATTTCTGTTAGGTATTCCTCTGGAAAGCTTTTCTCTTGTTATCTTTGGGATCATCTTCTTTGGTTTTATGCCTTTGTGAAATAGTTCTGTGCCAATCATGGGACACTTGGATGCTGTGCTGTGCTGCTTTTACTGTTTAGCTATACTTAGACATGCATAGGACTTTGACATCCATTTTCCAGCACAACAAACAAATGTTGTTATAATCCAATATTCTCAATTGTTTTGAGTGTGGTGAAGAACCACAGAGGGAATAGTGTGAAAACAGCTTCTGCAAAGTATCAATTTTGTTTTATCAAGGACTGTGCTGGCAGTTTATACCTCATATTTTAATTCTTCACGGTAAGGAAACATTGGTGGATTCAATGTAATAATATTTTTCTACATGAGTGCCAAGGTTCCTGTGTCTGAAATGCTACATGGAAATTATTCACAAAAGCAGGTATTCACTGGTAACAGCTTTTCTGGCACTTTTCATCAGTTGATTTACAAAGGAAATCAGTGCCCTTATTTCCCTGTTATTGGTACAGAAGTACAGAGAGGAAAAAGAACTTGATGCAATGTATGCCTCCTAACAACATGATGGCTTGAAGAGGTGTTAAAGACTTCTGGCTGCTCTTGGTTTTATTTGGAGTTGAGAGCCCTGGAGGCCCATTAAACAACTGTCATTGTTGACCTAAATAATTTCTTTACATTTCAATCTATTTATTGTCTTTACAGAGAATATTTCAATACTAAGAAAGGAAGATGGATCCTAATTGTATTTGCCCTAGTCCTACAGGCTTCTCAAAACTCATTTCAAACATTTTATAACCTTGTCAAGGCTCAGACTTGCTCAGCTTTCAGCCCTGAGTGCCATCCCTGTGACTCCAAAGGGATGTGTGAGCACGACACATAGAGATAATCCCTTGCAGAATCACAGCATTGGTCAGTATTTTCACTGGAAATTAAACATTTCAAGGTGAGGTATTACAAAGAGGTATTTTTTTGTAATTACACATTTGGGAGCGTAGTGTGACTGCTTTAATTTGGAGGTCACTGGATGCTTAAAACCTACATAGACTGCCTTGTAAGAAATAACCCTGAAAGTAAAAGGTGGACTTCTCCAAGGTCTTTTTTTAAGTGCCACCCAGGTTCATGCATACAGGCCTCCTACACCTCTGTGTGAAAAGAGCAGTTGTATTAGTAACTGTATGTGACCAAAAAAGCTTCTGAAACCAGAAGGCTATAAATGACTACACAAACTTTTTAAACTTCAGGTTTTAAACCATTTAAGCCAAAATACATAAATCAAGCCAGATTTGTTGAATACATGGCTCAGGTCATAAAACTTTTCAGATCATAAAACTTAGCCAGGCTTACACAGAACCTGACTTGGATTTCAGATTTGTGATTATATGCAGGCTTTCTTGCAAGTATTTTGCATGCCCTAGCAAATACAACTGCGTTTTGTTTTTCACGGTGTCAGGTCCTTTGAGCACCAACACACCCTTCAGCACTGCTCTGAGGGGTTTGTTGCCCATATTCAGGGCCAGCTCTGTAACTTGGGGCAAGACTGCAGGGAAAAGAGCTGTGAGAAGTCTCCTCCAGGCTGGGCTGTGTCTGGCCTTGTGCCAGATCCTGCCCTGGCCTCTTTGACTTGCCTTTCTGGCTTGAACATTGCCCTCTGTACTCCAAGACTGTGCCTCGACAGACACTGAGCTCTTTTGAAGTGAGCCTGACACGTGGCTTTCCCAAGCACCTGGTTCAAAAAACAAACTACATTCTTAAATTAAAACAAAAAAACTACCACATCTTCATTTCAAGTCTTGCAGGCAGCTGTCCTTTAAACAATAGGGTCTGCCATTTGGGTGAAGTCCTATTTGCCAGGATGTCATTAACATGGCATGCAATAGCAGCATGATGATGATGATTAACAATGTCTTGCAGAGTTTAGATGCCATTTCTGTCTAGATACACAAGTTCTGGTCCCATTTTAGTGAGGGCTCTGTTGGAGGGTGGTGATTTTGGACTGAGAAGGTGTTCTTGTTACATATGCACCTGAAATACATCTGTTAGTCATTGTTACACCATGTTTGTCTTGTTCTCTCCATTATTCTTTTGTCACACCACTACTAGCATGAAAGCCAAATCCTGCAGACTCAGCGGGTGGAAATTTCTCTAGGACAGGATGGGAAGTTCTATTCACACACTGGATAATACTCAGAAACCTGTGATTCTATCTGTGAAGATTTAAAATTTCACTTGGGCTTTGTTTATGATTTGGTTGTGTGAACAATATTGGATAATTATTGTCATTTTCATCCAAGGACATATGATATACACATCCTCAAGCACCTGTGTCACTCTGTGTCTCCAGTTTCCTAATGAAATCCATGTTCACTAGGAAAAATGAGGAAGAGTCCTGTACTAGGTAGGACTTACAAGCCATATCCCACAACATAATGACTGTACTAAAGGAGTGATTCTCTCTGGGTTTTATTTTTTCCAGAACAAACCCAATTTTGTCCTTGTTACTGGCATTGTCAAGAGGACTCAGACAGTGCTTTTCTTCAGCTGGCACTTAAAGGGTGAGAAAAATATGGTGAAATATAGTTACATGACCCTGGTACCACCATATGACCAGAAGTGTGAGCACTCCATTGGTGCTGGTAGGATTAAAGAGTGGGACAGAAGTGGTTGCACAGTTTGTGGCTGCAGAAGCTGTGCCAGGCACACTATGCACACAAAACCAAAGGGACTTTTAAGATTTCTCCTGACTGCACTCATGGGTGAAGTGTCAACCAAACAAATGGAGATAAGAAGACAGACAGAGCTAATGAGTACAAGGCATATTAAAAAAGGTGTATGTGCATACATATGCATCATACAGAGGGGGACAGTAGGACAGTCATAAGGCAAAATCACATTCCAGAATGTAGGCATCTCTAGCCTACAAGAAATAAGGAGAAAACCATCTGATTAGCCAGAAAACCGGCAAAATTTAAGACAAAGTGAGTGTGACAACTCCAGCCCCCTCATGAATAGTATCCTGTGTTCTTTTGTTGTCTGGCTAAGCTGGTTTGAAAAGCCCCTTCATCAGCTATATGTAGCTTCCAACACAATGAAGGTGCAAAACTACACAATCCTTAGAACACTCGGGTTCTTCACTGATGAACCTACATTGCAAGTTCCTCCAGTCTTGTTATAAACATCTTTTTTCCTAAAATACAGTGATCAAAAGGTTATGCAGTCCCCTACTGCCTCCAAAATGAATAACTTCTTTAAAAAATGCGTGTCTTACTATAAATAATCTTTTACTGTTTGCCTTTCAGCAGCCACAGCAGATCACGAGGGTGGTATCAGAAGATGTACCAGCAAACACAGAGCTCCTGCATCCTGAAGTTATGCTTCAAGCACGGTTGCTCCACAGCTCTGTGAATCAGCAATCTTGTGTTCTTG